TGAAAGCACCAGAAAGTAAATTAAGTCATACGCAGCTGTCATCCGTACGCAAGGAAGTAAGCACAAGATGCCGAAAACCCTTAGCAGGATGCAGCGCACCCTTCATGCGACTCGCCGAATGCCTCACGGCTCTTCGCGCTTGGTGATGTGAAAGCCTGGTCCGGTGAGAACCCGGCGTGCTCCGTCCCGGCTTTGTAGGGATGCGAGGTCAATGGTCTAACGAATACGGCATGCACGACTATGAGTACACCCCCCCCCTAATCGCAAACGTTTCCGACAACGCCCACATGTTCTTACCGTGCTTGTTGGATTTCCCGACCGATTGACTATTCATGTCGACCCATCATGCCCGTATCTCGGCGAACAGCTCATAACACATCAAAGACGGGTTTCTTGCCACGTCGTGGCAGGACACCCCTGGGTACGGCGACCATGTGAATGTCAGCCTAAGCTTCCAACCGGTGGTAGACTACATCATGAGCGGGAACAAGAGGTACCTGGCGGAAGTGAGGAGGGGCAACGAGACGCCGGAGAAGGACGGCAGGACGGACGTCTGGTAAGAGAAACAAGTACTACGGTCTGTTCCTACAATACAATACGGGACACAAATGTTCTTGGTCGCTACCTATCCTGTCTGTTTCATGTCACAAACTTTCCTCTTCGTGCGTCAAACAAGTGGACGCTGCAGGAGACAATCCTCGTCTGAAACCGACACACCGTCGCGGAGAGTGATCGTTGTAGACACCTGAAACGTGGTTCGCTACTGCCAATTGTGTCACGGCTGTTTTGGGGTTGGCCACATTTTGACTACTAAAAGCTCGTTGATTTTGTGCGATGGCAGCATATACTTCATTGCTGCTCATCGGTGCAAGCCCATCGACATCGAGTACATGAAGCAGCTCTCCAAGGTACTTTCGGGACTCCGTGATGGTATTCAATTAATCGATCGCTATCAGTTTGTATAGCCAAAGCATGTTTGGCGCAGCAGAGTAGTCACCCGGCGAGATGTGGTCGTCAAGAAGATGCATATTGTCTAGAATACTGTGCTGCGGTCGCCTCACGGGCGTCATTACGAGATCTCTAACCTCCTGTTCCGTGTAATTTGTACAGTAAGTGATTTTGGGGATCGACCTGACATTGCTGCGGTGGTCTGGTCGTCGCGGGCGGCATCATACTGTGTTATGTCGCCCACCCCGCTTTCGCAGGCTGTAGCCGTAATCCCCGTGATCGGTAAATCCGACAGCATGACGGTGGACGAGATGAAAGACTTCAAGGCGGCCATCGTTGACCTTGCTGCTCAGGACAATGAGCTCAAGTTTTTTCAGTTCTCAGGTGCGTGGGTCTACAGAGTAGACTAGTCTTGTCTCAGTTCAGCGGCGACTCCATCCGGTGCCTCTCGACAAGTGGTTCCTGGTTTTGTTTCTTCGATTCGCGTCCTGTGCGGCAGAGTATCCGGCAATGCGCGGAGCTGTTGCGTTTTTGGTTCCTGCGTTTTCTATATTTTCTCTGTGCTTCAAGGTACTAACAACTCCAACCCTCTGTCGACCCTTTCCCGCGGCCCCATCAGAGATGTCGTGGAATGAATGCCTTACAGCCCTCGGATTCACTGTCACACCCAGCTGGCTGGGCGAAAGGCAGCCGCCCCCTTACGCCGTAATCTCGAGCAAGGTGGACGAGCCCCACGGGGGCCTTTTCCGTAACCCCGCACGTAGGTAGGTCGTGTGACCGCCGGGCCGTAGACTAACCGTTTCGACGAAATATATTAGCCAGAGGGTGTGCGCTCATCCAATAATGACAATATTTCTTCCATCTCGTATTTTCTGCACATCGGTCCTTCCATCTTTCGCGATGGTTTCTTGACGTACCACCGGACACACACAGGGGGAAGGCCGCACAGGAGTTTTGCTCCCCTCTGACCTCCTGTTCCGGGAAGGATGCAGCCGTTACTTTCCCTCGTCTACCGACAAGACGAATTATTTCACACACACGAAAACATCGCTCTCTCTTTTGTTTGGGCATATTGTGAGAAAAGTCCAAGCTCGCGTGACTGCGCCGAGACGCGAGCCCACGTACCGAACGTCAGAAGGTTGAGAGGTTACCTCCTGAACCACTCAGCCAGTGTTGTTTGAGTTGACTGAACCATGTAGACAATTATCCGATATGTGGTATTCTAGGAAATCGCGAATGTTCTCGTTACACGAGCTTTTCTACAAATCTACCACATTTCAACGTTCGCGAATTTGATACACATGATAGGTACCCGTGGGGCACCTGCCGCGTCATGGAAACGACGCACAGCGAAAACACCTACCTCCAATGTCTTTTGCTGGAGGTGGGCTTCCAGGACATAAAGGACGAGATGACGGCGCGCTACAGAGCTTTCGTTAAAGAGCAGGTGCCTGGAAATATAAAGCGAAAAACTCCCAAGTTGATACCTGCTCAAGGTTGCACTTGCACGTGGACCAAACCGTTTCTCCAACCGTCCCCGTTTCATTTGACGATGTTGTAGAAATGTTTAATAGACATCCTAGACTAAACCCGACGAAGAATAGGAAGAGTCCGGAATTACAGAGAGGATATTTGAGGGGAAATGAAACAAAGGAATGACTTGTGATATGTTTTCCTGAAGCAGAACAGTGACAAACGGAAGGCACCTTAAGCACAAGTACGCCAGAACCAATAGATATTGTGGCAAGAGATGCATCTGTCTGGGGCGGAAAGACGAACGTGCCGAGCCAGCTCCGCTTCAGACCAAACGTGTGAGATCGCCACACGAAAACACGCAATTTACGCCACCAAACATTGTCGACACTTTGTAGACCAAATCTGACAGTACACGCTTACAGAGATAATGAATCTTGCCTATGTGCCATGTTGCCCCTACTGTTGTATTTCTATCAATTGTTGTGGACTCAATCATGGCTAACATCCCCATTGGGGCGATAGGGTGCAGGACTACATATCCATGACATGGATTCTACATCATGACCATCGTATTCAATGAAGCGGTTCTGTGTCGCCAGGGAAGGGTGTAGGGTAAAACGGCCAGAGGGTGAGATGTTGATATCCCATTCTAATGTCCAGAATTTTGTGTTCCTGCATTTCCAGACAAGGCCTATGACGGAGGTTACTGTCGGCGTTATCAAATGCCTTCCTCGCCGGGCTTCAAAAGCCGCTCTCAATGTTGCTCACGAGGCTCAAGGTCGCCGTCCCAAGTCTGTTCTGGCCCTGACGATGGCCACGGTATGCGCCTTGGCCGCGGTGATGCTGGCGTACCTTTGTTGCGGGGTGAGACGCTGTGATGAACTTTTCCGATACCTGTCCCGTTGTCTATGGATAAAGAGAATCCTGGTCGCTAAGGATATGGTAGCAGGGTACTTCTCGCGGGACAGGCACTGCTTTTCTCCAGTCTTCCTGATGTTTTCACAGAAGTTTGCGTGAAGCGCCGTGCCCCTTGGGCAATCATATGTACTTGGCTCGTCAACGGTACAGGTCCACGGTACCCCCCCGATCTTGGGGCGAGGAGGCATGTACAACCCTGCCGAGGGCCTGGCCAACTGGGCCAAAGTCATCGAAAAAATGCAGGAGGTGAACTACATGTTATCACGTTTGGTGCATAAGATTAGTCAGGAAAGACGCACGTTGCAACAAGCTGGCGCCATGTACATACGAGCTTGTTTGTCGCTAGAGACAACCGTGCCCCTGAAGATGATATCGATCGTGAAAACTAAGTTTCTGGTCGTAGGTGAAACAAAGTAACGTTTACGGTTCATCGGAAGAATTTGCGTCGTCGTTGGAAGCCGGTATTATCGAGAACAGATCCCGAGCACGTACGTATGTCCTATATCGTGACGCTTGAGAGCACGAGAGAGGAAGTACGAGTAGTGCGTGAGCACGCCGAAAGGTAGACGCATTGGCCAGCATTGAGAAGTGGTCATAAAGTAGTGTCATGCACCTGCAGGCTTAGCCAGCCTACTCAGCGTCTGAAAATTCAATAATTCATCGGTGATTCGACTCGACGTTACGAACTTGCAGCTCGAAGGATGGGACCGCATCTTGGCGGCGCCGGACTCCGGCGAGGAGCACCTGGACGTCCTCATCGATGTGCTCGTGGAGCACTACAAGAACGCGGAGCTGCGCAACAAGGCACAGGTCGCTACGGCTGTTCGCGGCCTACGCCGCATATTTGACATTTGACGGGTGAGACTGTTTCGGAGATGTATTAACTTCACGAGAGGTAGACGACCGTCCTTCACACGGACGAAAGAGGGAGTGCTCAAAGAGCGGCTCCCACAGCAAGGAGGGGCCCCGTGAATCATCGCGGTGCCCCCTATCAAACGGTTATCTTACCAGTCTGCGTGACACAAAATCATCCAGCACATGTATCCAACAACAATGTTCGCAGACCCACGAACACCCTCCCTGGTTCTTCACGCAAGTGACTAACCATCAATTGGGCAAGAACGCCCCAGGATACATTAGAAATACCAACATGGTAATATATGGAGGGCAAACCCGGCGTCCGGGCAAAACCCCTCAAGGAAAAACCCTACCACCACAAAAAAAACCGTCGCTATCACAGCGGATCACAACGGCCGCACTTATTAGAAAGGCCAAGGCGAAGACAAGAACGCGAGGAACTACGTTCCCCCGGACGATGGTCTCCCAACGCCCCGTGCTCCTGCCATTGGTACACAGACCGCAACAGTTATACGCCTTTCCCCGCATGGAAAACATGGCCTCTCCCAAGTGCTAGAAACTGCTACAGCTACTCCGGCAGATTCATCAGCTTGCGCCGGTGATACTGCAGACTGGCCCTGCTAAGGGCCTTGGTGAGGAGGTCCGCCTGTTGCTCAGTTGTCGGGACAAACTTGACCGAAATTTCCCCCGACCTAAACAATCCGCGGATGAAATGAAACCGCACGTCGATGTGTTTCGTGCGACCTGAGCTGAGGGGGTTCTGCACCAACGCCATGGCCCCCTGGTTGTCCTCAAGGACCTTGATGCTGCTACCACTGGTCTCTGGGGCGACAAACGAAAGCACAGCACGCACAAACAACGCCTCCTTGACA